CATTAGAAGACTAGATAAAATAGAAAAAAGAATCATCAAACTTGAAGACAGGGTAGAGAAATTCATCCAATCAGAGCAACATAAAGTAAAACAAATGAAACATGAAGATAGTTTGAGGAACTTATGGAAAACATCAATTGGACCAATATTTTGCATTTAGGGTCCTAGAAGGAGAAGAGAAAAAGAATGGGAAGAAATAATGGCTAAAATCTTTCCTAACCAGGGGAAGGAAACACTCATGCAGATCTAAGAAATGCAGTGTTCCAAATTAGAGGAATCCAAGGAGACCCAACCCAAAACACATAATTAAGTCGTCAAAAGTTAAAGACAGAGAGAATCTTAAAAGCAGCAAGAGAAAGAAAGTCAGTTACCTACAAGGGAGTACCCATACGACTGTCAGCTGATTTCTCAACAGAAACTTTGCAGGCCAGAAGAGAGTGGCAAGAAATATTCAAAGAGATGAATAGCAAGAACCTACAATCAAGATTACTCTTTCCAGCAAAGCTATCATTCAAAATTGAAGTAGAGTTCCATATTTTCCTAGTACTGTGTCTTTCCTACAATAAAACGCACGTTAGGATGCTTGTGTATGTAATATTTATGTACCTTTAAATTTAAGACATACAACATATATTACAAATAGGGTGATTATATAATTTATCATTCAACTATTTAAAAAAAATTCAAGATGCTTAACTAAGATTTATACTTAATAAAAAGGCAAATTAAAAAAATTTAATTAGTATAGCAAATAAGCGCCATTGTTAAATACATTTGCATTTTTTCCTTTGGGTTTTTTTTTTTTGGTTTTCTTAGTGGAATGGGATTTTATGAGATGGAATAGAACAAAAAAGTATATAACATAAGATTCTCTTCTTTCTTGACTTGAATATATAAGGGTTTACATATTTCTTGAGGTTACTGCAATACTAATTTCTGCTTTTATCTAAATGAATGACAGACTCTTATATTTGATTAATATGAGAGTTATAATTCTCATAACATCTGACTAAAATTTAATAGCAGAGAGCTATGAGAATTTATTACTAAAATTAAAATCCTGTTAAGTAACACTAATCCTTAAGAGCATTATTTATAAATTAGAGGCCTCGTGCACGAATTCATGCACATGTGGGGTCCATCCCCCTACCCCCCTAATGTGGGCCTATTGGGCCGGGCTGGTGGGAGGGAGGGGATGCGGGCTGATGGGGGCAGGGCCGGCTAGGAGGAGTGGCTGTGGGAGGTTGGCCGGCCAGCCAGGGGTGCGCATCATAGCGACCAGTCGTTCCGGTGTCCTGGTTGCTTGGCTTTTGTATATATAGATATAAAAATACACTTGTTAATATACCCATTTATGGTACTAAAAGTGTAGTTCAACTGCTATTTGCTAAAATACAATACAGTAAAATCTCACTGAGTAACAAAAAAAACAAAACTTACTGACTTAAGAAAAGGTTTTGACAAATAAATGGAAGACTATTCAACACTTTATATTTTGAAAAAATTCTTAATTGTTGATGAAATAGATTTACACTTGTTTTATAATCACTTCCTCTTCTCAAAGCAAGATGTGTGTGCATGCATATGCACATATGTGCATATATACATGTGTATATGGACTGAAAAATCAACTCCAGGTTTCAAGTGCAGTTCAGAGTAAGAAAATTAAAGAAGCTGAGTGTTGTTGAGTCCTATGTTTCTATACCTGGAGTTTCACCATTCCTTTCTATTCCAACCCATTTCAAGCCAACAAATCTTTTTGGGTTTTTAATATCTGTAACACATTATGCTATGTGCAGAGAATACAAAAAAGAGGAAGAGTGAGAAGAAAAATGAAATGCACAGTCCCTGTTTTTAGGAAGTTCATAATCTTGTAGAAGATGTATGTAAACAGTAGAAAACAGACATTTATATAAACCATTAAAGAATAAATAAGTATGTGGAATGCAGAAAAGGAGGGTGGCAGATCCTAACTGGAGTGGGAGTAGAAGCTATGAGAAGGTTTCCCTAAGTGACAACTGGGTTGGTTTTAAAGCCTCAGAAGGATCTTGGCAGAAGGTAGATAAGGCGTCCTGGGTGGAATACGCAGCATGTAACAAAGGCATAAGATGTAAAAGTGCCTAGCACATCTGGGGTAACAACTTCTAGTGTGATACAGCCACCTGATGTCTAGGTAAAGGAGATTATTTGAAAATGAAGTCAGAAAGTGAGACTAGAGCCAGATTATCAAAAACTTGAATGTTGTTAAGAAGTAGATAGTCAGGGCATCCCTGAAAAACTTTGAGCATATTTGTGATATATCTAGGTACTGCATAGCTCAAGTATTGAATTGCCAATTCTGTCCTGCACTAGAGCAAGGATGGCAATAAATGTAAGTTATATGGTACATACATTAGAAAGTGTTATGTGCTATGAAGAAAATACAAGTATAGAAGGAAGTAGCATGGTCAGGATGGGCCTTATTAAAGTAGAATCTGAAAAGAGATTTGAAAGAGGTGAGGAGTTGAGCAGTGCAATTAATCTGGAGAAAATACATTGCAAGCAGAAAAGCACATCCAAAACAAAGGCCCTATTACAGAAGTGTGCCTAGAGTACTATGGACTATTAGGAGATGAATGTGGAAAGAAGGGGGAGGAATGACAGGGTGATCATGTAGAACCCTGCAGACAACTGCAAGGGCTTTAATTTTATTCTGAATAATATAGCAAGCATTGCAAGTGACATGTGAGCAGAGGAATGGCATGACTTGACAGATTTTAAGAGAACTGCTCTGACTACTGTGCTGACAACAGACTACAGTGGGGCAAAGGTGGAAGCAGGAACTCGGCTAGGAGGCTATTGCAGTGATTCAGGTGAGAAATGACAGATCATGTGGGTGATGAGAAACAGTCAGACTGCAGATGTGCAATATTTAAAGGTAGTGTTAATCAGATTTTTCTGACACATTGGAATGGGGTGTGAGAGAGGAGACAGGAATGTGATCAAGGTTCTGGACTGACAAAATGGGAGGGCAGAGTTAACTCAAATGAGAAAGACTGCTGGTGGAGCAGGTTTTTGGGGAAAGATGGGAAGTTCAATTTTTGACATATTCAAAATATCTATTAGACATTGAACCAGGCTTTGGGGTGTATAAGTTTGGAGTTCAAAGAAAGGTTCTGGGGTGGAGCTTCTGTTTGTTCTGCCTACAACAAATCCTGCATTCCAGGCTTGCAGGACTATAAGCAAGTCTCTACTGTGTTCCCCAAGTCTTTGTGCCTTCATATCTCTGTTTAGAGTGTTCTTACTCCTGTGTTTTCCCACATGGTAAAAAATTCTCCCTCTTCAAAACTTATGGTGGCATCTGTTTTATGAAACTCAGATGATTACCATCTCCTGAAGCACCCTATTTCCTTATTTCAGTTAAGTAACTGAAATATGCAATGGCTGGTGTTTTAACACACTATAAAGGCTAAACAATTTTAATTTCTTTTTTGTTAAGAAAAAAAGCAGCCATTTCATAAGCACCAGTGACTTGCCTGCTCATTATCAGAAATCTTTAGAAACCTTTAAAGAAAATCAAGACCACAGAAAAAATCTTGGCAAGCAGCTGAGTAACCAGATTTTGCATTTTCCAATTTCAGTAGTTATTTGAAGACAAATCTTCAAAAAGACTTTACAGGCTAAAAACAAAGAGAGAAACATCTTCTGCAAAAGTTCCAAAGTTATTTTGTTATAAATTTTTTTTTTCATTTTGATTGTCATACTTTTATTTGCTGTGGGGAGGCATTTAAATAAGAGGAATTATTGGACAAGAAAACCAGTCTCTTTTTTTCATTCCCAAGAAATAAACTCTAATCTAATCGAGAAGAGGGGAAAAATTAAAAAGATGATGTGCAATTTAGAGATGATCCAACTCAACCAGCCTCTTTTATAAATGAGAATACTGAAATCCGAGAGGCTGCCACTACCACATGAGCAGGTATTCTCAACTACTAGCTCTGTGTAGTTACAGTCTACTAAAATGAAGCTCCACCGGGCAGAATTTCGTCTGTTTTGTTTCACATAGTAAGTACTGAAACCAATAAATTTATGATTCTAAACTATATGGGGTTGAAATACATTCAGTATAGACTATAAAAGTATAATACAATTCTTCAGGGTTTAAAAATTGCTGCCTCTGAAAGTAAAAAAATTTAAAGTATCAAGAATTTGAAATCATTCTTTAAATATTAATTACAAAATGTTAGCCACATACGAAAGTGGGAAAGTGAGGACCCTGAAACAAAAGCTCTAACAAAGTAATAAGTTTATAAAATGTTCTCTGCAGATTAAGAGTAATGGATGGTATTCTACTAATATACCTGCTTTATACAGTATAGTATTTTAGATATTATGGGAAGATTATAACCTTTGAAAATAAAATAGTACAAAGATATCATTACACAGCTTTGGAAAATCAAGATTTATATGGACAACTAAAAAAAGAAGTTTTAAAATGTTTGATTCCATGTTATAATACACAGTATCTTAAAATACAACAAATAAACAGCCCATGTTCTGAAAGTTCCCTTACCAAAGAAACTCTTACTTGGGGTTTTTAAAAACTGAAGTATAAATGACATATAACATTATATTTTTAGGTGTAGTTTTAGTTGTTCAACATAATGACTTGGTAATCATATACATTTCAAAATGATCACCACAATAAGTGTAGTTAATGCTAGTTACCATACATAGTTACAAAACATTTTTTCTTATGATGAGAATTTTTAAGATCTACTCTCTTAGCAACTTTCAAATATGCAATAAAGTATTATTAAATGTAGTCACCCTGCTGTAAACTACATTCCTATGACTTATTTTATAACAGGAATTTTGTTCTTACTTGGTTTGAAAACCAAACAGCTTTTGAAAACCCTTTCAATTATAACGATAGTTGCAGTCAATAGGCAATCTAACATATGCATTTCAATCCCCAAAAGGAAATATCAGGTACTATTTTAAAGTTAAAAAACACCTACCTCTTTAATCTCATGTAGTTTTCACTTGCAGCAGGTCGGCATTCAGCTCTTTGTACCACTATTCCTTCCAATGAAAGCTTATCTTGAATGGTAAGAAAAAAATAACAAATGTATTCAGAGTTAACATTTATCATATTCAAGATTGTATTCTGACACATTACCCACAGTAATAATAAAATAAATAATAAAAATAAAAAAAACAAAAGGAATATATTTTAAAATTACAGTTTACATTCAATATTATTCTGTAATAGTGTTAGGTATACAGTATAGTGGTTAGACATTTATATAATTCATGAAGTGATACCCCCAATAAATCTAGTACCCAGCTGGCCTCATACACAGTTATTATTATATTATTGACTATATTCCCTATGCTGTAATTTACATCTCTGTGACTATTCTGTAACTACCATTTTGTATTTTTTTTTGAAGGCCAGTCCATCGGATCTTATATTTCTTTTCTTTTTTTAAATATTTTACTGATTTTTTT